GGAGTCGGCAGCCATACCCTTAAGTTGGAAACTTTCATTTGTTTTTAGGAGGAAATCGTAAAAAGTTTTGAATTTACTTAATCTGATTATATTGTCCCCCCCCCCCCCCCGCCACAAAATAGATAAGCCAGTCTCGCTACTCGAGGTTGGCGAGGTTGCTGGTGTCGAGGACCCAGGCTTCTCGGGCGGGTGTTCCTCTGTAAGCAAATCTTGTCGGCCTATAGGCAACTTGGATATTCCACAAATAATCTCGAGGATAACCAGGAAACAAAGCAGGCTTCCATCCACGTCGCCAAGGACGTCATGGTTGACTAGAGACATGTCGAGGTCTATGCAAAGCAGGCTGAGGCAAGAGGCTTTGTAGTGCGGAGAGAGATCTTTCCGGATGGCTTGCATGTCGCTCATATTAAGTTAGACAAGACAGTACTAGAACGTCGTCAACGGGACGGGTAATTCCATGCCTATTCTATCGTCTCACACCCGCCTTTGTGGATAGACCACCTCTAGGCAAGCGCCGGAGCCATGTCTATATCCTTGTCTATCGGCATTTCACACATGGGGTAGCAGAGGAAGGAGCTAAAAAGGGTTGACTTATTTATATCAGCACGGGATTATCACTCTGACCAAGGCGCAGAACCCCTCCGTCCGAGGGTGGTTGTTGTACTTGTCGGGCTGGGAGTTGGTGCTCTCCGGGTCCCCGGGACGTGCCGGGGGGGCGCGATGGTGGAGAGAAGAGGAGGAATGCGTTTGGGGGTGGGTGTTCGAGCTTGTCCCCAAGCATGTTCACCTTAGCCACCCCCTTGACCTCTCACGCTGCCCCGACAGTTCCTCTCGACTTCCCACTAAGGCTCTTCAATTCCCTGAGAAGACGTGATGCTGCGTCAAATATCCGGCCCGCAAGGCCTTCGGGCTTTGACGCGTAAGGACCTAAACCTGTTGTGATTTTGGAAATTCGTCGCGAACAAGGGGAGGCTCAACCACGTCCGAGGAAGCGGCCTGAAGAGAATGCGACCTTGTATCATCGCTTCATAGCTGAGCGTTTTTCGTATGAGTCACAGTTTGGGGTCCTGGGGACAGGACAGCGGGGGTGAGTATGAGCTGGAGGGTGTGACGTTGTTTGCGGTATGGCTATATCCTGAGAAGATCGGTGGGAGTGGCAGGGTTGTTCAGGATGCGAACCGGCTTGGTCATTGGCAGTCGCAGTGCCAAGGATATACCTAGTATAACGGCGATGCGTGACGGCGTTTGAACGAATGGCAACACCACCCTCTCCTACCTTTCTTCGGTCGATATCACCTCTGTACCTGCGACTTGCCACGCCTTACAAGCATTGACGTCTGACCATCTTTGGGAGGCCCACCTATTGCAAAGTACCTCTTAAGTACAAAGCCTGTATGCATCTCCTCTCCCAGATGGCTCAAGAAGCTAAGTCTCTGTGGGGGGTGTGTGTATGTATGTGTATGCTCGAGGAGATTATTATGTGGATCATGAGAAGGAACCCCGTTGTCTTCCCACCGCTGGAGTCAAATGTGGCTTTGCTAGTTGAACAAACCGATGCTTGACGATTCCATGGTGACAGGCAAGTCTAGCCGCGGAGGGAATCAGGCGTTTAGTCTGCGAGAAGCAATGGAAACTCTTGAAGAAAAACAGTTGCATCACTATGCTAGCCCTACCAAGAGGTCAGCCGAGAGCCACGGACAAGCTGTGGAAGAGAGGGAAGGCACGCTTGGCTTGGAATTCTGAGATCAGGCGACTGCCTCGCTGTATTGATTTGTACCTAATAGAACCCATGCTTGGGCCCCACCGGGTTCCAGGCATCAGCCGCGTTTGGGAGACAGCTTCTGTGATGGGTGCTTCTCGCGGAGGCGGATACCACCATGGATGTGCCACCCCGGACCCCAAGCCCTATCCCAGACCCCACCCACACCCAAGCCAGGCTTATATGATCTTTGAACGCGCACACTAGAGCATGAAGGACCGCAAGCTCAAGGCTGGTAAGAAACTCCTTTTGGGCTTGACTATCAAGCAACCCGGTGGGGCCCCATGCTTGAAGGAGACAATAGTAACCTTGTTGCTAGGACCAAGGGGCGCCATCGGTGCAACTGCAAATGGCACCATTCTCGGGAATGTCCCAGGGACAAGGAAACCAACCAAGTCCTCAAGCAAGTTTCTTTGCTCCCGACAAGACGCAGCAGTGCAAAAGACAGAAGCAAAGCCGGCTCCTAGGGCTACAACGACGACGAATTGACACAAGACTGACAATGATGGCGAGGACAGCGAGATAGCTGAGAAACAAGGACTACTTGCTCGACAACAACAATCACCGCCAAAGAGGCAGCAGCCGCAGCAAGCAGTTCGGGTCCGCGGCAGCCGTCTCTCTCCTCGACGTCGGCGGACTTGGCGCTGGCCGAGGCGCGCTGGCGGTACAACTGTTATCTTGGTTTTGCCTGGTACAGGCAAATCGGTGCATAATAACGGCGTCCAAACACAGCAACAAGCTGGGCTATGGTATGTTCGCCACTCTTGTCAAGGTCAAGTCAAACCTTGAGGCTGACAGATATAAAAGCAAGTATGCCTTTTACCTGGTTGAACTCCTTGCCAGAGGAGATGCTAATGACGCTGCTAATCATCTTGGAGACGACGATTATGTCGCAAAGGTGCGTTTTTGGCAGATCTTCTTTTGCTGGCAGGAATAGCATGCCTTGATGATGCGCATAAGGTGTGTGTGATCTTGCTGCTCCTTGGTCTTGCCCCCTCTAGATGCAGAGTTGGTGAGGTCGCGGAGCTGGCTGTCTTGGTCGCCAAAGTCTAGTTGGTGCTACCGACCGCGGGGGAGTCCAGGGTGGAGGTCGGACCCCCTCGTAGTGCCAGTGGTTGCTATAGAGGTGGCAGCCGACAGACTCGGTAGGGCTTGGGGCTAGGGTTGCCAAGCCAGTCTCGTCGTGGTGGTGGTGGTGGTTGGACATCCGTGTACCCCTCCATGCTGTCCCTCACGCGAACGGGACCTCGACGACATTGTGCCTAGTAGTCTCAGCTGCTGTGGGAAATCCCAGGTTTTACCCGACAGGGTAGGAAGGTATCCAGGGTTTGACCTTCCCCAAGGTTTAAAGAATCGCAGTGCAAATCTAGTAGGGATTGAGGCGCACTTCAGTAACCTTAACCCTCAAAGAATCGCAATGCGGTTTTTCCAAGTTATGCCTAGCGTTGCCTGTCTGCCTTTTCTGGTTGGAAATGGTGGCGTTTTGGTGAGGTAGTGGAGTGGATTTTTGCAGTGCGATTTTCTGCAGTGCGATCTAAAAAGAATCGCAGTGCAAATAGGAAGACTAATCGCAGTGCAGGGCGGTTGATTGGCTTGAATTTCCAGGCGGAAAATAAGCTAGGCCGATTTAGGCCAATTCCGACCGGAAAACGGCAAAACCTGGGCAATTCCAACCAGAAATTCCCGGCGAGAAATTCCACTGGGAAATCGGCTTTTCCGCCAGAAATCTCGCAGTTGCCGGCGGAAAACTGACCCGTTCCGACCAGAAGATCGGCGCAACCCCAACGAAGGAGACGTGCATGTTCAAGGCGGAGGCATCGAAGGCAGCCATTATAGGAACGCTGTGGGCTTGCAGGGCGAGGCGCGGCGGGACCGAGTTGGCCGGCGGGAAGTGCTGAGATGCAGGCATGCTATCTAGTCGTCAAGGCTACTTGCTTGCTCCTCCCACCCTGTCAACGCCATCTAGTCCCAGCCCCCAGCCCCTTCCTAACCTGCTTGTCGTGCCTCTCCTGATACCACTCCCACCAGGCAACAAACTCCTCGTCAGACACGGATGCTGAGCCGTCCTCGCTCCCGGACCCGCCCCGCCGTTGTCCTGCACCCAGGTCCGGTCCAGCTGCCGGAGGTTCGCCTCTGTGAGCGGGGCCGCGGCAGACATTAGCGGATTGGCTTCAGCTTCTGGTGCTGCCGCTGCGGCAGGTTGGGGTCTGTTATGGTGCAGGGTTTGGTCCATTGCCGTCTTGGTGTGGGGTTGCTCCGGTGTGGGTTGGGGGAGTGCCTAGCCTGTCGACGGACCGACGGGGCTGTCGGCAGCGTCGGCCACCATCAATGGTACACTGAATTTAATACGCAAAGTCTCTGGCGCATCTAAGGAGCCATCGACAGCATCAACTAGATATCCAGGAATTCGCGGGGCTCTCGAGTCCTTCCACCGCGGCGAGCGCAAATTGTGCGACAAACGGGAGAGACGTGAATCTCGACCCAACGGTCCCAGAAGCATCCTCGCCCCACCTTGAGTTTAATTACCTACCCATCATGCATGTTAATTGCTTAAACTCTCCGCCACTGACGTACCTTTTAGACAAGCTGCCCACGTTTTGTATATTAGCGTAGGGATGTCAACCCACACCCCTACGGCAGCTTTCCGGGCTCACTCTCGTCGACTTGAGATTATTGACCAGGGAACCAAAAAGGCACTAACCCCCCGGAGATCAAATCGCTGGGCCAGGGTAGGATAGCGTTGTTCCATTTCACGAAACCGGGTTATCAGGTGGGCGTTCCTTGCCCGATTTGGGAATTCCGGACGGGAGATGTCCGTCGGATTTCCGGGTTTATGGACCCCTACCGTTGCAATGCCCCGCCGCCCAGCTGACCGCACCTACCAATCCAACACACACGACCGCACACAAGTGCAACCTGCCCAAGTTGGGCCCGGAGCTTCACGGGGGGTCAAGAGGGACTTTGGGCAAGCCGATTATGTCTAAGAGGAGGCCAAGGCGCTCCCCTCCTTCCATCAGCTCTTCCTCGTCGTTCTGAACCAGCCGCAACACCAGAGCAAAAGCTGCCCCAAGACCATTGAGAAAAGCCAACAGCCAACAGCCCCTCCGGCAATCCACATCACACACGATGAAGGGTCTCTTCAGTGTAGCCGCCCTCGCGCTGGCCGTCGGCGATGCGTCGGCCCACTACATCTTCCAGCAGTTGACGACGGGCGGCGTGAAGCACGGAGTGTTCCAGTACATCCGCAAGAACTCCAACTACAACTCCCCCGTCATCGACCTGGCGTCCAACGACCTCCGCTGCAACGAGGGCGCGAGTGGCGTCGGCACGGCCACCGTCACCATCGGGGCCGGCGAATCCTTCAGCTTCACCTCCGACGTAGAAGTTTACCACCAGGGCCCGACCTCTATGTGAGTAGTATATTCATCCGCGAGCGACACGTGCTAAGCGAGTCCCCGCCGATCACTGACAATGAGAACTCAGTTACATGTCCAAAGCCCCTGGTGCGGCGTCCGACTATGACGGCAGCGGCGGCTGGTTCAAGATCAAGGACTGGGGCCCGACCTTTAGCGGCGGCTCGGCGACCTGGAACCTAGCGAGTACGTTCTAGTCTCCAGTTTACTACCCCCGATCACCTCCCCCCTCCAACCCCCCCCCCCCCCTTTTCCCTATATCTCGACCCCTAACCGATCCGATTTCCAGGCACCTACACCGCCACGATCCCCAGCTGCATCGCCCCGGGTAACTACCTGCTTCGCATCCAGCAGCTCGCCATCCACAACCCCTGGCCGGCGGGCATCCCGCAGTTCTACATCGAGTGCGCCCAGATCACCGTCACCGGCGGCGGCAATGCCAACCCCGCAACCGTTTCCATCCCGGGAGCTTTCAAGGCTACCGACCCGGGCTACACCGTCAACGTGAGATATATATATAACCCTCCTTCCTTTCCCCCCTCTTTCGTTTTCCAAACCAGCAGCAACAAGACTAAAATGAACGGTAATTGCCATACCATTAGATCTACTCCAACTTCAACAGCTACACCATCCCCGGCCCCCCCGTCTTCACCTGCAGCGGCAACGACAACGGCGGCGGTGGCAACCCAGGCCAGCCCACGACCACGGCTAAGCCCACGACCACTGCCAAGCCTACGACCACGACCACCACTAAGCCCACCACCACTATGGTGACCACTACCCGTCCGCCTACCACGACCTCGTCTGCGCCCTCGGGTTGCACTGTCGCAATGTGGTATGTCTTTCTGTCCAGAGCTACAACCCCTTCCTTACCCAAGTGTTTGATGTGATGGAATGACTGACCGTTGCGTGTTATAGGGGTCAATGTGGCGGTAGCGGCTACACCGGCTGCAAGACGTGTGCTAGCGGATCGACCTGCAAAGTGAGCAACGAGTGGTACAGCCAATGTCTGTAGAATCACCAGAGGTGGTTAGCACTGTTTGTATAAGTGGGTTGGGAGGAAGGAGAGATGTGGAGGGTGGTTAGAAGAAGGCAGGCTCTTGGACTCGCTGCTTGGTTTCGCTGCACATAGTTTATACCTTGACAGTATATATCGGCTTGCCCTGATTGGGGATGTAGCACTCCGATCGTCACTTAACATTGCTGCCGAGTCCAATACCGGGATGAGTCCCAGCCCGAGTTGCGCGACGTCGAGAATCGAACTGCACCGAGGAGGGCGTATCATTTTGCAGGATATGGTCTGGGACTAGCTTGGGACTGGCAGGGCCTGCAGGTAGATAGATGCCTCATCGAATCTGTCAGGGATGCCGCAGTCTACTACTCAAGGATGGTCTAGCCTCTAGGCAACAGACATGTCCACTAACCTCCTACAAACCCCCCATCTCCTTTCTCACTTTGGTGACAAGACGGTAATTAGTACCGTTAGTACCACTATGGCAGGGGGAGATGGAAGAGAGAGGGGAGAGAAAAGAACGCGACTAGCCAGATTGCTGCACGTACTGCGGGGAGGGGGGTTCATTCTAGCAACGCACGTTTCCAGCGCATTCAGCGCTAGCTGTTGGAGCAACATTGTTTGCAGTCTCAAGCACACACAACTGCGATGGGATGGATAAAGAAATGGCGCAGGTTAGGCCAGGGAGGGCCCCTCAGCCACGCCGAGTCTCTTGTCGGTTCTCTCTCTTTTGTCTCCCTCTTTTCGCTGTCTCTTGTCGCTGTCTCTTGTCGCTTCCTCATCCCTAATTCCCCAATTGCTACTTATCATTACGCATTTGCAGTGCATCTTAACGCCAGTGAAAACGACCATTCTCTCACACCTGCCTCCCCTACTCGTCTCTACTCCCTCCTCCGGCTCTGTCATGTCTCTGTCTTAGCTGCATGTCTCTAGTGGCTAGCCTGTTGTCTCTGCGCTGCTCTGTCATCTCCAACTCTCTAGCTCTCCCTGCCGTATTGTCTTACCAAGCATGGCTTCCCTAGCCAACGGCGCCCACGCCCACGCCCATGCCAGTGACCCCGGCGATCTGTCCGACGACAAGCTTGAAGCCGCTGGTGACAACGTCAACGTGCTCCGCCTGTCGGCCCAGTACCGGCACGCTGGCGACAACAGCCCCCCGCGCGTCCAGCAACTCGAGCTCTGCTTCCACGACTGGGCCGCCGACAACCCCGTGGCGCTGCACTGTGGCGGCAACGCCAACAAGATCGGCGTCGACTCGCCCGCCGACCAGCCCGCCCGGAGCTCCCCTGCAGCGCCCTCGACGCCGGCACCATTAACCTCAAGCCACGCTCCGTCGCCGCCCCGCACCTACTCCGCCACGCCGCCTCGACGTGGCTCACCTGGTTGCTCCTATGAGCCATCACAACCTGGCCGCCACAGCCTGGCGTGCCGCCGTGCCTCCGCCGACCCCAGCCGCTGTCCCAGTCCCGACCGTGACTCCCTTGACCGCCGTATTCAGCCCCCACCTGGCCGTCGTGGCCATGGCCAGCGCCCACGCAGACATAGCCGAGATGCTTGCCAGTTTGCGTTACCTTCCCTTGCCGACGCTGCCACCCGCGCCCTCGCCCTCGAGACAAGCCTCGACGAGCTGCGCCACTGCGACACGCTGCTTCCGACCAGAACAGTGACGACTACAGCCCTGACGTGTGTATACCCGGGGTTTGGTCGCCGTCGTGCGAGAGTGGAGCACACCGGAGCACCTCGAACCATACGCATGCCGCCGAGCGAGCCGTGACGCGCCCGAGCGAGTCGGCGCACCGGTGGATACTCGCGACGGCCGACGGGTGCGGCGGAGCGGCTGGGGGCTTGCGACAACGACGACGCCTGGCACTTCTTCCGGTCGCCGTGGCCGAGCCGACGTGCGCCCCGTCGAGGGTCATTGGTCCGCGCCGCAGCTCGCGCGCCCGGTCCAGGCTGCCGTCGCCGATACCGTGCTCGACTACGCCGGCCCGATTGCTGTTTCAGCGACATGGCACTGGCCCTGTGGCTGTACTTCTCAATGTACCACCCAGCGTGCGTCCTGACGACTGAGTGGTGAGTCTCCCGGTCCTGTCTGTTCGTTTCTCTCTCTCTTCCCAGCAAGACTAACCTGCCCCCCCCCCCCCCAAGACAATCGCCACCACCCCAGCAGCCCCCACTCAGTCCCTCGCACCCCCCCTCCTCTAGCGCAGGCTCCTTCTCACATCGACGCCCCCCCTCCCGACTCCCTGCGCCATGACCGGGCCAAGCAGTGCGCCGCGACGCGGGCGGCGGGTTGCGCACTGCACCACCACACGCTAGGCACTTCGTCGCGGCTGTGGGAGGGACGGTTGCGGCATGGGCTGTTTGGGGTGGGGAGGGTGTGAATGCGGCGCGGCCATGGGCGTGGAGCTGGAGAGGGACTGGGCTGTGTATGTCGCGAGACGAGAGGCTGGTGATGGGGTGGGATGGGCGTGGGAGGAGTGGAGCAAGTCGATGCATTCCAACCTGTCCTGTCCTAGCCAGTACTGCGAAGACAAGGGGGTGAGATCCAAGACCACCCTGACTGTATCATATGATTGGAATGGGTAAGTTAAGTGTTATTGCATGTTTCTAAGACTCCTCCTGCCTTGATTATTGCGAACGATGATGACGGTTGTAGAGTGGTTGTCTAGATGACGGTTCTGATCTCAATCTTGGACGTATGAGAGACCTGCGCAAGAGATAGCCAATTATCATCAGGACTGGTCTGTTGTTTCCCAGCACACATTGTTGGGTTGCGCCGATCTTCTGGTCGGAAGGGGTCTTTTCCGCCGGCAACTGCGAGGTTTCCAGCGGAAAACCCTATTTCCCAGCGGAATTTCTCGCCGGGAATTTCTGGTCGGAATTGCCGTTTTCCGGTCAGAAATGGCCATTTTCGGTCGGCCAATTGCAGCCGGGTTTTCTACTCAACCTGGAATCTGCAGCCCGATTCTTTGGATTTGCACTGCGATTCTTTAACCCCAGGGCGGGTCCCAGCGCCTCCTCGCGCAAGGACAAGATTGTAAGACGCATGACTCTGATCAAAACGTCAACCTCTTGGGCAAGACTTTGGCTGTCTGATCAGTCGCTGCGCCAAAGATGTGCTTGGCTAGTCACATATGCATGCTTGATTAAAGTGTGTGCTCTGATTGAGTCGTATTGACATATCTATGTGGTTTTCTTTGACTTTGAGTGAGTGTTTTTTGCGTGAGTATCTCATTTTGCGGGAGTATTTCGGCTTAGCGTATGTATTTCAACTTCCCCGGTTTTGGATATTTCGATTCGCACGTCTTCCTACAACGCTCCTGGGAGAACCCGGGGATGTTTGGATTGAGAGGAGAACCTGTAGCAAAGGATCTAGGATATACCAAGCTGGCAAACCTCTCTTGGATCAAGGAAGCCAGCAATTGACAGGCATTCTTGTCGCCGCGCGCCTGGGGCCGGGGCCGAGGCTGGGGCCGGCTCAACCCGGGTCGTCTACAATTGGGCATTTGTCGAATGCTTTCCAAGACATAGTACTATCAACCTTAACTACTACGCACCTTGATATCTACATTGCCGCCGCCTAGAACTTGCGCCGGACCTGTCCTGCAGGTCCTTGGTGTCTCTGACAGAAACCTTTCCCTCATTCTTCGCGCCGACCAGCCGGTCATTCCGAGGTACGTTTCCAGATCCGAGAGGGTTTCCGGCATCTTTATCTTCTGGAAAGCCTTGATGCAGTTGTTGGTTTTTGCAATTCCTTCGGCGGTAGTGTGAATCCGGTTGTCTTGTAGGATCTTACGCACTGTTTCCAAATACTTGAGATGCTTGTCCAAAGTGTTGCTGAAGACTATGATGTTGTTGATATAGCGTGGTGCTGGAAGAAGCGGCGGTTCACATAGCATTATGCAAATGCTGGGGAGTTACGGAACTCTATAAGCACAACGTTGGATTGCTTAAGGCAAATGGGGCTGATGACGAGCATCTTGTTTTGGTGGCAAGATAAATTGAACGCCGGTGAAAAATCCAGGTCTGTCAAAGGTTAAGAAAAAGCTCTTTCCAGCCACAGCCCATGATTTCTGTTTGGTCCAGAAGCAGGTAGAAGACATTTGGAACAACAACGTTGTTTAGTAATTGTAGGTTGACAACAACACGTCCTTTCCTCACTTGTGCTAGGGTGTAGCATGGATGGGAGTCGAAATCCCACCTGCTTCGGCTTCTTTGCCAGTAGGAATCAGGTCTTTCCCTACACACAAGGCAACTTAAAGGAATGAGAGAGAGCTAGGGAAGGCGAGACGAGATAGTGACTGTAGAATGAAACGGTTGCCCTAGAGACTAATCTGACTATTACACATTGTGGACTGAGGGGAAGGGGAGGGGGGGGCGATGGCTTTTATTCTGCCGATCCACGCTTCCACCCGTTGTCCCAGGGCCACACTGCAATGCTCATTCTCCCCATGCGAGCCTCTCTTGAAGGCCCACCAGTGCCCCTTGCGCTTGCACCCAGCAACCTCCCGGGCAGAGCTGTTGATCCAAGTCATCTCATCGGCGATGCAGACGCAGAGACACATAGCCGGCCAGTCGGCAGCAACTTCAGAGGCCCAATCGAATAGCATCTCGCCCTTAAGCTGCAAATTGAGCAGATCAACCGCCAGCCCGCCCCCGCCCCTGCCCTCAACAGCGCCCCTAGCGTCCTAAGGCGCCTCCTCCTTCACCCTCCAACGCAGCCCCGCAAGCACCTCCTCCGCCCACTGACCCCCGCAACACTCCTCTTCTTCTCCCCCGCCTCCCCCGCCAAGTATCGACGCCCTCAACCCATCAGCCAGCCTCCCTCCCCCCCCCCCCCCTCCCCCTGAAACCCTCCCACGCCTGCTCCGCCGTCTCTAGCGCCAAGGCCAGCTGCCCAGCGTCAAGGTCTACCAGGATGCTGGCGCGCGGCGGCGAGGTCTCGACCCCACGACTCCGCCGTGTCGTGCTCGTACGCGGGCCATGTGGACGTAGGCGGCGGCGACATAATCCGGGTTGTGCCGACGCGAGGAGACGTCGACTTGTGCCTTGAGGTAGGATTTGTCGCCTGCTAATCTAGGGATGGCGATGAGGGGGGCCTGGGCGTGCGCCTTGTCTCCATCGCGGTGAACCGAGCTGCTGTTGTGGCGGAGGCAAGCGACGGCGTCGTCGTTGATAACCCGCCTGGACCCAGTCCCAGGCGGTCCTGCAGGCGTCGCCGAAGGCCAGGGCGGCGCCGGCATGCCGGTGACGCGGTCGATGGCGGCTTGCATGTCGGTGCCGATGCGCCACACGACAAAGATGGCGGATGCTACGGCTAGTAGGCCTGAGAAGCCTGCGATGATGGACACGGTGTTTTCGTTGAAGGTGCTGTTGTTTGTCTTCTAGTGCTGCTGCAGCGCTTCGTGGTTGAGCTGCGGGCAGTTGGGCCCGGCCATCCCCGTGCCTCCCCACGAGGGCATAGCTGGGGTTGTGATTGGGGTTCCAACCTGTTCGGCGGTCTTGTTGAGGCCGACGACAACGCTTGACGTCTGCTGTTCCTCCCGCTTCCCCAAACACGTGCCTGGGGGTTCGACGGCAACCTCGGGGGCTTGGTTCCGCTCTCTTCGCCGTCGTCCAAGAAGCTGTAGCTGCCGGGGATCCAGAGCAGCTGCTCCGGTACTAGTGATTGCTGCCCCTCTTCCTCTTCCCGTATGCCGTCACGGCGTCCCGGCTCGGCTGCAGCTGAGACAGACACGCAGGACGACGCTGAGGGTGGCAGCTGCGATCCGTCGGCCCGGCGATTACTCTTCCTTGGTCGGAACCGTGCGGTTGAGCGAGTCGGGGTGCTGGAAATGGAGCCTCTGCCGCTGTCTGAGGGCTGGTTTTGCGTGGCTTTGCTTGGGGCCGACGACTCGCTTCGCTGTGCTTGGACCCTCGTCTATTTGGACGGAAGGACGACGTGCTTGGCCGGCAGGCGGCGTCCTCGTCGGTGGCCATCGTTGGGAGATGGAGAGTGGGAGGGAATGCCAGAAAGGGCTGACCAATGATGATGATATTGCAAGCTCAGCGTGGTGTGGCGACACGTGGAAATGCGAACGAGAAAAAGCCCACATCGCCTGCGGAAGAAGACCCGGTCAGCCCAACCGGCAAGACCAAAACCAAGGTCCACGTCATGCTCTCCGCAAAGCCCCTAAGCCAGCCACCCCAAGTCTCGAAGCAGCGTCTCAAGCACCAAGGCAAGAAGCTAGCAATGCTCAGCGCCATCCCACTGCTTGTCCTCCTCCTCCTCTCTATATTCCTTAGCCCAACGCTGCCAACCCTCTCGTGGATAGTCCCAGGCACCATAGCTATGACCAAACAAGGCACCCCAAACCAGCAACCACCCTAGCACCAGCCGCGCAATCCCACAGGAAGATTTGCACAGCCATGTACATGCTCCGTCCAACAACCCCAAGCATCCCCAAGTCAGCGTCGGGACCCTTTGCTGTGCCAACCCCCTTTCGCGCCTCTAACTCCCACTCCCCCGCATACATCCGGACAGGTTCGGAGGCTCGGCAAATCGTTGCTGCGGTGTGGTTGGACTACTATGATCACAACACGACGACGGCAGCGGGACTGAAGACGGGCTGGGGCGATGACGTGCGGCGCAACGTGCTGGCGGTTTCGTACAGCGGCGGCTGTGGGGTGGCATCCCGATGATCGGGCTAGGAGGGCGGCGGTGTTGCACGCCTTGACGCACTCGGCTTGGCGACGGGGAGGCTGGGTTGCTGTACCTTGATGGGTTTCTGCCTGGCATGGAGGAGGCGGGGAGGGCGGCTGGGAAGGCGGCGGGGAGGACGGTGGGGAGGTTTGCCTTGGTGGTGGTGAGGGAGGTTGGTGTTGCGAGGGCTGAGAGGGTTGCGCGGAAGCAGTATGTTGATGGGCAGTGCCATGCCGTTTGGGAGGATCTGTTTTGAGAGATTGTGGGTCGAGATGGGGAGGTGGGAGGGGAGGTGGGACGGGAAGGGACGGAGGTGTGCATCACGGGTGCTTCGGTGCGTCGGTTTAGGATTGAGCAGTGGTTGGCTATGCTGGCTACCTGAATCTGTGACTAGGGACGGTCTCGATTCTCCCGGCAATCTGTGAGACCAGTCCCCGAAATAAATGCAATGTGCGCCAGCCATTTCAACCTCGTGCCTGCAAAGATGGTACCGAAGCACAACACCACCATTATCAGGACTAGCCGAGGTAGGCAATGACTGGAACTGGAAAAGAGACGCAGAAATGTGGAACTTACAAGGGGCCATGACCCTCACTCTGGTACACCACCCTCGCGCGCCTCCCAAGATAGAATATCCCTCCCCCGCACGATTATCTTATGAACCTTGCAGAATTCCCCAAAGAGCCAGTGCACCTTCTCGGGGCCAAGTTTAACCACTCTGCAGAAGCTGGTCAGCACGGCGCGCCGGCGCGCGGCCCCCGTCCCATGGAGCCACTCTATCTTCTGGGAGATGGTGTCGAGGAGACATTCCACGACGTCGTATCGGGTCGTGGGCTGGGGCGTTGGCGGGCGGTCGAGGCGGGCTGGCTGGAATTTCCTGTGGCTGGGCGGGGTTCTAGTTAGCTGGGTTGTTCTGGGATTAAGTAGAGAGAGGGAAGGTAAGAGAGCAGACAACAAACCGCAAAAAGGATGCAAGACATAGGAGACAACCCCTTAGCCATTTTCCCCCGCGGCCCGTCGGAAGACGAGTCACCCGCATGCTTGCGCTTGGCTGGTAACTCCTCGAGGGTGGGGAATTCGTCGTCCTCGTCGTCATCGTCATCGTCGTCGTCATATTCCTTCACGCCTCCCTTGGCCGCCCCGTGGTCAAAGAGCTTGTAGGCTGTGGCTGGGGGTGTCTGCTGGGCAAGTCTCAACCAAGCAGGAATGCCCTCATCAGGCCCCTCGTTGCCGATAGGATGCTGGGTAGGTTTTGGGGGGGTGCGTTGCTTCCTGCCCCGGAGTCTCTGGGCGCGGGGTAGACATCTCGGCTGGATTGCAAAGGCGGAGCAGAGTGTTGGATGTGCAGGGTGATCTGGAGGACTAGCCAGAGGTGGAGAGAGAGAGGGGGAGCAGAAGGAGAAGAATGGAGGGAAGTAGGCAGAGGCCAAGCCAGGATATTTATTCGACCATGGCAAGGACCCCGCATCAGAGCAAGCCACAGCAGAAGACATCAATGCCAGCAAGGCAACGGTTCCAGCTATGCGAGACGCAGAAATGGGTAGCGGCGAGAGACAGAGGTATGGCGTGATGGCGCTGCAAGACACCGAGGTCGACCCACTCGCTGCCGGGAAGCCAGTATCCGTTACCCGTCAGGAAAGGCACTCTTCCAAAGCAACGTGTTGAGAGATGTGTCCATGTCATTGAGGGGAAATGGATAGGCGAGGACTTGGGAGCCAGAAAACTTCTTGGGATTGATGGATCGATGGATTGAGCTCGAGAGACAAGGTGATGCGAATAGCAGCATCTACCCTGGAAATAGGGTCGGCGATTGACCTGGAGTCTGGTCAGGAGGAGAGGAACACCAGCGTTTGTGGGAGAAGAGATGGGACAAACACTACAGAGTGAGCTTCCTGCCAGAGTGCAGCTTGGGAGAGGGCAGTTTCCTGCCCCCGGAATGCCCGGCTCAAAGACACGGGAGCCAACACCACACATCAGCTCAAGTTAGTGCGCTGGCCGCATGCCTTGCCGTCGAGAGGGCTGGTTGCCGACGGGATTCCCGGAAACCCGTTTGTGCGATCCCACGACTGAGACAGCAAGTTCCCAAGCCAAATGCAGTCCCCCTTCGGCAGAACCAAGCCAGCAGCTACAGCCGAATCCCACACCGCTGAAGATGTGTGTATCGTATGTGTATGTTCCGTCATTGCAGTGGTGTTGACAGCGACATCGGCAGCGATATTGGCAGCAAGGGGGCGAGTTGAGGGGTGAGTCGGGAGGGCACGTTGGAGAACCAAGAATAAGACCAGGCACAGACCCATGGGCAGACAGCCGTATAACCTCTCTCAACAGCCTCTGCCTTCGGGATCCATGGCCTGCCACAGTGTTTGGAAATCTAGCTAGACAAACGTCAGTAAGTGGTCGTGTCAGTTCGGAGAGGAAGCCTGGGTTGAGGTAGGGGAGGGCTTTTGTCCACGACTTTTTCGGAGATAACAATACCTTGTCGCAGGGCCGGCACTTGAAAGGCCATTGCTTAGCAGCCAAGTCAAGTCTGCTTGACCGACACGACGAATGGCTTGGGCATATATATGACAGAGGGGAGGGACACTGGCGATTGATAAGGGGCGGAGGAAATAGACAAGTCCAAGCAGGCTTGCCGGGGTAGCCAAGTACCTGTTAGTGCGAGGGAATGTACAATACAATACAATACCTATGTATTGTCTCGTACAAGCAAAATCCCGTCATCCCAGCCAAAACCCGCCCCATTTTCCATTCCGGGGTGGAGCTGAAAGAAGTGGCTGGTCCACCGCCGAAAGCAGAGGCAGATCCCCTGCTTAATCCAACCGTGTTCCTTCCCAGCGTTGATCTATTTGCAGTGCTGCGTACATATGCAAGGGATCGACGCTAATGCCTTCTAACTAACACCAAACCTAGGCCCGAGATTCTCGGCAAGCAATCTTAGTGGTCGAAGCTCCCTGGGAAAAGAACAAACACAAGACACCAACAGCGCCGCCCAGCTCTGGAATTGAGGATTTCCCTCCCCCCCCTCTCTTTGTCTCGTTGTTTCTCCCTCATCTTCTCTTTCCTCGTTTCTTCCGGCCACCAAACCTCTGTGCCCTGCGCTGTCTTCTATCTTCCGTCTTCATCTCCCATCGTCATCTTCCATCTCTCATCCTCCAACTTCCCAACCACCTCGCATCGCCAATTCCACCACCGCCTAACTCGTCGTTCCTCTTCGCTTGCCCTCGGCATCTTCCTGGGATCTACAATTGGGCCAGCCCCTCCGTACCTGCCGACTGTACGTATATCAGTATCCCCGATGGCCCTGCTTTCTCTGCTAATTAACTTGGTAGAAATAACCTAAATAGGTCCGTCGCTGCCACTCATCACCGCCGCTTCGTCTCGAATCTACAAGCCCAAGTCGCTCTTTGCCGTCCTGCTTGATAACAACCTCCCTCTCACCATCCTGGCTTGGCTCACCACCACACCTTGTCTAGACTTGTCCAGACCCCCGCCACCGCCCTCATCATCTAGGTTTTCGCCATGTCTCGGCTCATCCTACCGTTGGTACCCGCTTTACATCGCCGTCAAGGCCGCATTGTTGACTCCCGGTCTGCCCCGGTCTGTCTGCCGAGCATCTCTTGCAGCACCCCTCGTCACCCCTCATCTTCGGTCCTGCCGCCCCCATTTCGCAATAATGCCACCACCCTGTGTTGTTTTCGCAGGCTAAGCCTGTTGATATCCCAAGCAAGTCTCCCACACAGTCAGGTTAATTCAATTGCTAACTCTTGTTCCCTGTTCAGAGTGCTCATCTACAAACCCAGCCTCCGAATCTTCCTCCGAATCTTCTTCCGAATCTTGCTTAGGATCCCATCCTCTGCCCAGCTTGCACAGCGCCGCCTGCATCCTCCCGCGCCGTTCCGACCGGCCAATACATTCTACCTCACACACCTCGTCAGTCATACATCGAGTCCTTCTCAGTGCCGGACCACACTCGATGATCATGCCCAGTCTGCTGCATGACTTGCTGGTCCTGCCTCTCAACACCAGCTCCACCAAGGAGTATATGCTACGTCGCCGAGATGCCCATACAATTGCCAAGCACACACAAGGGGCATCAACAGCTGGAAGAGCCTTGCCGCTGTCACAAGTCTTGGGTTCTGTTTCCTCTTGACTGTCATCATCAGCCGGATGGTAACCAGGTCAGAACACCCCAAGGCATTCTCCCGGCGTCTTCTGCCCAAAACCACGTCATCGGCGGAGTACTCCCTTTCCATCCCAATTTCCACCGACCTGCTTCTGACTTATAGCCGGCTAATCTCCAGCACTCCCATGTCTACTCGTCGGTCTCGCCACCTGTTCAGCTGCCAGCACCATCCTGTGTCCTCGCACTTCCATCCGCAATTGCTCAAGCTTGCTTGGCAACTCTCTGTCAACTTAAACGTAGCCCTTCCCTTCCCATTGAACCTAGCTTGCCGTCTAGCCTCGGCTAATTAACCTCTAACAGTCTTGTATTATCAAGGTTCCCGCTTTCAATCTCCTGACACTGGCACGCACCCATTCTCTTTGTCTCTCAACCGGCAAAGCTGCCGTTATTCTCTTGCTATTGTCTTGTTGCTTGCGTTCCTTTTCTCCTTGTTAATTTTTCGCTCCTAGTTGGGCCCATGGACAGCCGGACTTTTAGACTTGGAAATGGATCCGGACTTGACTCGGACCTGGACCTGGACTTGACCTAGGCCCGGACCCGGACCCGGACCCGGACCCCAGCCGGGGTTGATGCTTGTGATCAGCCATTGTGCATGCCCACTGCCATCCATCTTCGTAGATTCAAGCCACCTTCCGTCCTGTAAATCACCACCTCCCCTTCGGTCTCCGCTCAGCATGCCATCTCCATCGCCCATGCCATCTCCGTCGCCCATCTCAGAAACAACCATCCCATCGCTTACATCGTCCCCCACCTCTAACCTTGACCATCACAGCTTCTAGCACAGAAACCACGGCTTTCCCAAGCAAACACCTCCGCTTCCTCGACCAAAGGAAAGATGAATACGGGAGTACGGTTGGTCGCTTTGCACCATCCCTGTAAGTTTCTGCGCATGCCTCTCTTGTCCCAGCTGGTCTGCCGCTCCCTTGCTAACCTTCCACGCAGCCACAAGTCTTGCTCTTTAGTAACGCCCATGTCTATATCCATGCCCATCATCAGCACCAAGGCTTACAATATTCCCAGTCCCTTCATCGCCGTGCCAACCACAAATGCCAACAAGCACGAATCTCAACATTAGAAGACGACTCCAGCTCCCACAACCATCCGCACCTCGCACAGCCCACAAGATCAACACCACCACGCCACCAGGGCACCAGGGCACCCCGACATGTTAGACCGCTCCCAACCCTCTCCCACTCCCAATCCCGACCAGACCAGTATCCAACTCGCCATTCCACAACAGCCTAGCCACAAGCAAAGCCAGTACCAACAACCCAACCCACCACCACCCTGTCGTCGCCAAACCATCGCCCAATCTCCGCCTCACATCTCAAGTCTCTCTCTCTCATCCGCCTGCCACAACTCAACCAATCAGTACCATTCGGTATCTCCATCACGGCACCCTTCCATCAACCCTGGCACCAACCATCCAACCAACATGGACAGGCTCGACCTCAACATATTCCTCGATTGGCCCGGCAGGGAAAAGGAGACAACATTCGCAACAGTCACGCCAAAGACTACAGCTCTCGCCGTCGAGAAAGGCAATGCCACTCGCACCAGCGGCTCACCTCCAGCGCCATCGCCTCGTAAGTCAGTCGACCCCCAATCCCAGCATCCAGTCAAGCTAACCCTGCCCTTCCCAGCCCGCACAGCCGCCCGCGGCAAGGGATCACGACCGAGAAGCAGACAACAGCACACGAGCAGCGACATAACCGACAAATACATGGCAGCCACGATAAGAGAAGAGGTAGGTAGGTGGATTGCATGGCGAAACCCATCCTGCACCAGCAGCTAACACCTAGGGATAGAATAGGACAAGAGAGCCTGTCGAGGCTAGAGTAGGGGTTGCGAAGATTTGTACCTGTCTGTCTTGTAGCTTTCTTTTCTGTGGCGGCGTGGGGGTGGAAGCCACGGGATTGTCTCGACCCGGGCCTGGACCTGGATGCCTGGATGCCTGGATTCCTGGATTCCTGGACCTGGAACTGGAACTGGAACTGGAACCTAGAGCCTGGAACCTGGGACCTAGGACCTCCCTGACCTCACCGGCCTACTTGGATCCTGGGAACGTGGCTTTCACCTAAGGTGCTGTTTGTATCCTGTCGTCTTACAGTCATGTAGCTTGTAGGGTCGGGAGTGGTTGCATCTCTCTGCATGGGGCGTGAGGAGCTATGGCATTGTTGTTGGTCTCTTGGAGCGTTGTTAGGTCTCTACCTAGCCCCTGCTGTATGACACTTTGTTGCGGCTATGTTTGTGTCTACTTCTTTTGTTGATATGGCAGGTGCCCATGGATCAACCACTGCTGCGATAGATAGGCTCTTCGTATCCGGGATATTATTCGGCTTTGCGAAAAGAACAATGAGGCCCGGAATATATCTTCTCATATCTAGTCGCCCTCGTCCCATTGCCCATCCCTCTCCTCTCTTCCACCCTCTCACACACCAACTCTCCCCCCCTCTACTATCACATCCACCGCTTACTGCTCTGCCTCTCAAGAAAAACAACCCATCGCATCTCAACCTCTGGGGGGGGGGGGGGGGGGGGGGGGGGGGGGGGGGGGGGGGGGGGGGGGGGGGGGGGGGGGGGGGGGGGGGGCGGGGGGGGGGGGGGCGGGGGGGGGCGGGGCG